GCTATTTCCACCAACCACCTTCCTTGGCTCTGGCACATGAACATGAAAATAGGTCAGGACTAGTTTGAAAGAGGGACTGTCTTTCTCAAATACTTTGTGCTACTCTGATTGACATCTCAGGCAAGCCTTTGAGAATATAGTCTTCCTGCCCCACTACCTTCTTAGGACTCATGGTAGCTGAAGGGTGCTAGCTGGTAAGGCACATAAGAATAGTCACTGTTAAAAGGGGTAAGCTATAGAGGTAAGGGATAGAAAAAGAAATAGAAACGGGAGGAGAGGAGCAAATTCCATCTACTACCTTCCTACATGCCTACCTACAGGTTCTTCTATCTGCCTTTTGACCTTTCACTCACCTTGATCAACAGAATGGGTTATCTGGAGACCAAGTAGAAGTACTATTTCATTGTAACAATAATTCATAAGGTTTAGAAAGCAATTCTTCCAAAATTGCAAGCAGAGATATGACACTAAGATGTATCCAACAGATCTTGTTACCAAAGCAAAACCAATGAAACAACATCTGTCTCTTCTAGAGCGTTCAATTCCCAATTCAATTCCATTTACTCCATTCTCAGAGTGGCGGACCCGCAGGGCACTTTTCATCTAATAGTGTTTCTATGGAAACGCCATTCTCAACCTGGAAGATTCTACAACCCCTCACTTTGGCTTTATCCACATTGAGATGAAAGTCTTATAAATCAGAAATGAAGACATAAATTTAGCCACAGACAAAAAAAAAAATATCCAGGCTAGAAGTTCACAAAAAAAAAAAAAAAAAAGAAAGGAAGGAAGAAAACAAAACAAAATAGCAAAATACATGTATCTGACTTAGAAACAAAGTTTGTCTCTATCATCCCCAATGAGATCCTCAAGATCAGTGAAAGGATGGGGAATCCAAGAGAATGTAAACGAAAATCAATTCGTCATCAGGATCATCTCCCCCAATTCACCTTCAGGGTCACCTCCCCTACTGGTCAATGCCACCTGTGTCACTCCTTGAATGGTTTCTTCACCTGAATCTGCAGGTATGCATTTTAACAATCTTCACTCTCCCTAACTTTCAGGATTCCTAGGACACACGGCAGCTCTATGCAGGCAAATATGTCACTGCATATTTTAAATAAGAACCATATTAACCGCGTTTCTATTTAGATTATATTTAAAACCGCAGTATGTTAGGGTAGGCAAACAAAAAGAAAAAAAGACCGTTGATTTTTACCTTTAAACATTGTATTTAGTCCTTCTCCTCATCTTCACTAGGCCCCTAGGCACATATCTTTGTAACAATATGTAACAATAACCTTTACTATGCAAAACACATCCAGCTTACACATTATGACATAGCAGGTTATATTTACAGTTGGAATAATGCCCTTAAGAAGGAAAAAGAAACCTTGATGTGGCATAGGCCCCTAATTGTGACTATATAGTGACTCATATGCAAATATTAAGTATTTCTTAATTGTTTGCAATAATGTGTCTTCAGGCAAAGGCAAGCATGTCTATTAATAAATGCTCTTATTTTCTTTCTGATTCGCTCTTATTATCTAAATAATGCCAGTCATTCTTTTCAATTCCAGGGAATAGTTTCTTCTAAGAGATCTTCTCCAGTTTTCAAAACTGGCAAATGTTCAACTAAGTCTAAGCTGGAAATTTACATCACTGAAATTTCCTCTTACCCCATAATCACCAAAGTTTAAGACCCGTTTCCTTTTTCTTTTATTGTTTTCATTATACACAAGTATGTCCAGCTTAGCTTGCTAGAGACTGGGAGTCCAAGAATGAAGCTTTAGTTCTCTCTTTGGAGCAGTAAAATGGGCTACTGATTAAATATACCTGTGGATGGCTACAGACCGGCACATTTTTCTTATGCAGCTGGGGTGCAAATCCAGAAAGGTTTTCTTTTCCAAGGCCTATTCTACTCTAACACACAAATGCTTGAAAGCCCTTTCAAAGGCAGATTTTTTTTTAAACTGAATAAACCCAATGAAAAGATTGACCCATTTATTTGAAAAAGAAAAAAAAAAAACCCCAGCAATTTGCTTTCAAAAAGGTGTGTGAGGTTTTATAATATGCTTTTTGGCATTTAAAAGATTAGGTTTTACAATTTGCTAAATAAATTGTTATTGCTATTGTTCTAATTAGCCAGAGTTTCAATTGCTCTTTTATATCTAGCAAGATTTCAGGAAGGATTTTCTGGATAAGTTGCATTAATTATATAGCAAGAATGCGATCATTTAAAATTTGTACGCAGTCTTCCAAATGAATTGTGCATCCCAGAAGACCTCTCAGAACTTGAAATAAAGTTGCTAAAGGATTAGTATTGAGATGGCAGTAGGTACTTACATTTGGACAGATAACCAAAAAAACTCTCTTTAAACTATAGGTGTTTCCCATAGAATTTACTATAATCAGCTCCTGACTAGAAAAGTATTACCTAAGCAGTCTGTGCATCCTTTCGAGAAGTATAACAAGACAAGGAGAAAGGTGTTCCTTGTAACTGGAGATCTATTTGCTCTTGCAGTTAGAGGAGAGGAGGGGAATCTTTCTCATTGCAGGAAGGAAAGAGGGAGAAAATTTCAATATCCTACCTTTGCTTTTTCGATGATATTGTGAGAGCATTTGCTTTTTAGGGACCATTATCATTACCAATATTTTTTGTATGAGCAGATGGCAGTGGAGTAGGGGAGGAGAGTGGGAATACCCAATGGAGACCACAAGGCACCTTCTACGAGCATTCACAAAAAGTCAGAGAGACGTGGACACATGGGTTTCCCTTCCAGGGTAGCAGTACAGGCCAGCACAGACCCCCAGACTGAAGGAAATTAGCCAACCTCAAGAAATCAGGCAGTTCATGAATAATTTCTACTACAATCGCCCCAATAACATATGGACCACAAAAAGCATTGCAACGCAGGTTAAATCATGCTGGCTGTTAAAAATGTTTTGTTTTCTTTTTTTTAAAGAAGATAATATAGCTCTCGGCAAGGTTCTCACAAGGGTATGACCTAGAAAACCAGGAAATCTGGTGGATGAATAAAAGAACTTGCTTCTCTCTCTCCTGATTCTGTCTGAACCAATATTTGATTATATTTTATTCAGGGGCACCTCAGCTTCAAGTGAAGCCAAGGCTCCTTGCAGACTGAGATGGAGGCTGATGACATCTACTCATTATTTCTGTTAGTACAGGAAATAGAAATAGTTTGTTGGTGACTTCAGGGTTGACCTGATCTTGTCCCCTCACCCACTCACCCCCAGGCCAGGTTAGCTGGTTAGCTCTGGTGATGAAATATCAGCACGGTTGCATCAGCACTTTTGACCACTTGTCACATCTTAACTCCTGCAGAGTTTAAATGCCGTAATATTTATTTTTCATGCTACACCTTCTAGCCTCTAGTCCTCTCCCTCCCCTTCTGTGGTGGTTGGTCATCCTCAGTAGCAAACTTGCCCACGGCAGATCTCAAACTATACCTACACACAGGCGACAAGTGTTGGATAAGTACTGGCACCCCAACTAGGTTTTGGGTAAACCTAACATGATGTTAAAATCAGCTTAATAATGTAAATCTTCAACTACCTACCAGCACTAACCAACCCCTGAAGCTGACTCCGAAACCATCAGCACAGTCTAGTTACTGTTTGGAAGCAGGATGGGAAGAAGAGAAGGGAGTGACTCCTGCTCTCTCAGTTTTTAGTGACTCCTGCTCTCTCAGTTTTTATTTTATTCACAAGCACTGAACTATCTGGACTGGTCTATCCCCTCAAGTGTTAGGGGAGGCACAGCCTCTATCCAGAGCAGCAGAACTGGCATGGCCTGGGACATCCCCTGCTGTCTCCCTGCGTGAGTACAAGTCACTGAGGAACACGGCTTTGAGAGTGGGCAAGAGTGTGCAGGTCAACAGGGCTGGACACATTGGTGACAATGCAAAATTAACTTGGATGCTTAATAAAAATAAATGACTTTAAGAAAAGCAAACTATGCTAAAGTAAAAATAATAAAAGGCTTGCTCTTGACACTTCTTAAAAAGCCAAGATTTTTTTTTTAACATTCATTCATCTTAGGCTAGGCTAGGCTACGACCTGTCTAAATTCATCCTTGAAAGCCCCCCTGGTCAACAATTTTGCTGATTTTTAAAATATTGTTTTACCCATAAATTGTAATTGTCTTCTTCCTTAGATGTCATTAAATCAGTATGCACTTAGAAAAATATCCACCAAAATATTATGATTATAAATACTTTGAACATGAAATTCATTCAGAACAATAACCAAACCAAACAAATCCCTCAGTGGCAGAAAGCCCCAAATCTCCAGTTTCTCACATCTCCAGGAGAATTCCTGCAGTGAAAACAGCAATACGCACACAGACAATATAAACTGTTACTCTGCTGGAAAAGTCACAGGGGACTCCACAGGAAGAGCTGACTTCATATTGCTGTTTTCCTTTACAGTTCTAAATACAGGGACTACTTTCACCGTGCAGCTCTGACTCCCATGGACGTTTTGTAACGGCAGCCAGTGCATTCAAACCATTTAAAAAGCAAATTATGTGAGCATCTTGCCATTGCAACAAGATTTCAGTTTTTGCGGACCATTCGCTATAAAGGTCCACTAAAGCATTAGAAGAAATTAAGTCCTTCTCTCCCGGGTCTGTCTTACTTTCTTCTTAGGGGCAGCTGGTTCTAAGTACTTAAGAGTCACACTGAGAAAAAGCAACATCATTAACGTACATACTTAAAACCAAGTGCACATGAACTCCTAAATCTTATAGCGTATGACAATTAACAAAATTACAATAGTCAACTTCAAATACAACTCCTCATTTGGGGTATGTATCTAGGAAACAAGTGCTAACTAACACTTTTGTAAAAATTGTGGGAACACAGTGATTTATGAAATATTCCAAGTCCAGAGGGATCATTTTTCCCTCATTGTTTTTTCTATCAAAACTGGTTCATTGTCCATATTTAGTTTACATACGTCATTTAGAATCCACTTACTGTTAGATGCTGGAACAGCCACGCCCTCATGATATTTGTGGCTACTTTGGGAAAGATGCCACGCTTTTTGTGACGCTTTTTGTCCTTATCTGGATCATCATCGTCACCTGTGCTGGGGGAAGCTACACTGTTGTCCAAGCCATCACCTGCAAACATAGTGAATCAAATTTTGACTGATGCTACCTTGACATGCTTTATTCAAATAGAATGCCTTTGGATATAAACAAAACCAAAAGAGCAATATAAATGATTAATAGTTTATTTGGTACTGTTGTTTTTTTTCAAGACAAAGAGAAAGAACAAGGCCTAGGCTCAAAAGTAGTCAGATCTAAGGACCTTCTTCCAAAGAACAATGTGAAAGGTCAAAGGGAATGGAGGGAAATATCCAATCTCTTTAGTAGCTTGGTTGCCATGGTAATTATTCAGATACGTATAGCTCAGACATGTTAAGTGTAACTCCTAGTGGGGAGTGAAATATGGTGGCAGCCATGAGCAGAGGTGCTGTCCCTGCCTGGGTATTCAAATCGCACATACAGTCATTGACGTCAACTTGTGAGAAGATGCATGTAAGATATCAACTCCTTCCACAAGTGATCTATCTTAAGACTAAAGTAGGCCACGGAAATGTAGGTAATCCATCATATTAGCAGTTTGACATAGGGATGCTTCAAATAGAATGTAATTTTTCTTGTCATAGAGAGAGAGCATCAAGTTAAGTCATGGAAAAACTCGTGAAATAGTTTTTTAATTAGAAATCAATTACTATTTAAATCAAATAAAGTGAAGTTAAATTAATAGTCACTTGGAATTGTATTACCCTGATAATCCAGACAGTTTCTAAAATTTCTTCTAGATTTAAATTTTTCTCACTGAAAGATCACCTGCTTACACATTCCTGTATATTGAATCCTATTTTTCCATTGATTTTTGGTATAACATTTAAATTATATCTTCTAGAAAATATTTTGGCTCTGTGACACAATAAAACAAAAAATGTAGAATTCCTTTACAATGCCATATTTAATAAGACAAAAAGTGAAATTTCAGCCCGTATAATCACAGGGTCCAAAATAAGTCATCAGGTACCAATGGAAAGTAAGCTCTTCGTGTTTTGGCAAAAAAGTCAACAGCGAAAACAATGTAGACTAAACCCACTATGCTAAAAAGCAGCTTAGCTTCTGTCAAACATGCTTCTCCACCTGGCGCCCCAGCTCTCGTGGAAGCTACTGGCTTTTAGAAAGGGATAGTTTGATCTGGGTCCAGAAAGAAGAGCTATAGTGGCAAGGCTTAGCAATGAGGTGACAAATGTCCCCAGAGCACATTCACTGGGTCATGTAAGTCATTGGAGCACAGGCTACATGGCTCGAAGACCTGGGCCCTTTGGTAAGACAAGTTTTCCAGTGACTGTACACTGGAATTAGCCTCAGATTCATTCCTACCACTTCCTGAATTTCTGCATTCCTTATCTCTGTTACCTAAATATCCTACGTACAAAAAGAATTTGATTTCACTAATTTCAGTCTAATCTACAGTAGTTATGTTGGCTTTAATCAATTGTTCTTAACAGCTCCCTTAGGAGACCCTCCAACTCCCCAAAATAAAATTGCTCCAAAATTGTCTTGACTTGTACTGAGTTAAAGTTTAAACACTTTGTTGGGTGAGGAACAGACTAATTTCAATATTTCTGCTGTGATCGCAGCACGTGCCACACATACAGAAATTTTGCAGAACTTTTCTGAGTTTAATTTTCTATTAATTTAAAATCCATAATTTTATCGTATTTAAAATCTATATATTTTGTTAAAGTTCCACAGACTCATACCTGTGTTCTCACTGGGAAAGAGCCTAAAGACCCACAATTCCAAAGGCCTCATTGTATCAATGAAGAAAGTGCTTGTGATCCTGTTGGGTGACTTGCCCAAGGTCACATAGCTGGGATGGGGCTGGTGGGTCTGTGCTGGACCAGACACCCACATCCCTAAATCGGTGCTCCTTCCATACCCCACTAAACTCTGTATTTGCATAACCAAGTGTCTTATAAGGAGTCCCCTCGGATTTGCCTAATAAATTCTTTGAAAGTCCAGTATTTAAAGAGGCTTTTTATTCAGAGAAGCAATTCACCATATAAAATAACAATTCATTAAAGAAACATGAGAAAAGAAAACAACTCAACAGCATTTAAAATTTCAATGGGCTAATCCACTTTCAATATGCAAAAGGTAACCAAGGAAAAGAAACATATTACTTGATCATTGATTAAAAATGAAAAGCTTCTAACCTAACGACACAGTTTTTCACCACCTCTCCATGATTGTTTTCCACCTTAAAAAAAAAAAAAATAGCTTTTCTATCCATCTCAAAACCCCTTCAGATTAATTTAGCAGGCGATGCCTAGTGCCTGCCTCGAAGAGAATTCATTGATAATTTATGGAAATATCTACTATAATCCAGCGGAGATGACTTTTTTCCAGCTTTGTGCATCAATAGATAATCAAGGCCTTAAAGCAGCCTTAGCTCCCCATTACCTCAGGCAAAAGAATTCCTGAAAGCGTGCCTGGAGGGCACCTGAATTATATACTCCATTAGGAGAGGAAGGCTTTCTGCATTCCTTGTGTAACACTCCCCAGAACCTTTCCTGTTTATTTCTGCTGTATGAAAGCAGAAGCATTAGGAACAGAATTTTTTAAGTGAAGACTTATGTAGATACAATGGAGAAACCTTTCAAGCAGGAGCCAGATCACCCCGTTCAGTCCTGGCAGTGACCTCTCCCGAATAAAAGGTTTCTATTACATCATTAGCTCAAGCCAAAAACAGCCTTGGCTTAATGCACAGTTTGTTCTTCCTACTGTTTTTAGGCAAATACAGCTACTTTACTCCCATCTGGGAGGGAAATTACACTGCTGGGTTGTAATCTAAGACAAGATTTTCATTGGAAGCAAATGCTTTCAATCCAGTGTAAATACTGGTGCATGTTCAGAAAAGCCTAAAACAATAAACCCTCTCCTTCCCGACACAAGTTGGGGACACGGCAAAGATGGGAAAGGAGAAGAGCATAATAAAACAGACGACTCTAAAAGCAAACACTTTCATAGATTTTCATAAATTGTTTAACCTCTTCCACTTTCTAAAATTGAAAATTGATCTCCAAACGTCTCGACCTCAGAGGAAAGTCTAAATGGTCAATTGTACCTTTTGCATTTCCATTCGCTCTGCAATTTGATACCGTCACCTCGATGTGGTCTCTGGAGGATTTATTTCCTTTTTTTATTTTTAAGATCACTAAACAAACTTGGAGAACCGCCGGCCGACCACACGGCAGCAGGCAGCAGCTCTGAACCACATTTGTAAAATGTCAGCAGTGACTTCATTCCAGAGCTGACTTCTCCTGCCGCCAAATGAAGGCGAACTGAAAAGGTGGAAATAATCATAAAAATGATGCTAGTCCATAAACAAGCTTACAGCCTCATTAGGATAGCAGTAGGCTCCAGTGGGTGATTTATGCTCATTTTGCTGATGCTATGAGGAAATGCCATAGGGCGACTTTAGCCAATTGCTAATGGTTTCTGACAGCTTCTTAGCAACTAGTGCAAGCAACGTTGTGGCGTTTGCTAGTGACAGAAACCGAAAATGTCATATTATCTGCCCATGTGTCATGAAGTCCGTGTGGCAATTAACTAGCAGGCCAGTGACTGAGGGGCCAGAGGCTCCTGCAAATGGCCTTTGGCTATGCAGAGGCAGCCGACGGGGCTGAGCGCAGACCGGCTGCGCATATGCAACCTTCTAATGCAGAAATCCACTTCCTCGCCGCTTCCTGGCTCTGATGGGGCCCGGCCACTCAAATCCCCGTTTTCCCCCCTCACTGAAGTGAAACTCTGGGTTCCTCTCTCTCTAGGCACTGGCTCTGGGCGTTATCAGAAGACTCTAAAGTGATCTGCTTTCATATGATTATCCAAATGGCCCCTTTATTGGCAATACCTGGTTCTGTGCTTTTTGGATGCTGGATTCCAAGGGGCTAGCTAGTTTTCTGCTCTCCCACAAATTAGTCTAAGAGGATTGAAGATCACTGAGGCAGACTCATTGCCTGTCAGCTTGCTGGGAGCAGAGGAGCTCTGCAGCAACAAGACACTATTTTAAAAACACCAGGCTTCTAACAAGCAGGGGGAGAATCTTGAATCTTGGCCACACTTTTCAGTTTCCGAGCTATCAAAACCATGCACTATATGTCAAACTGTCAAACCTTTCAGCGTGGGCCATTTGCCCTTTCAAATAATATTTAAGAATTGTTTTTACAAAATTTTATAGGCCATGGTCTAGTGAAAGAGGCCAACCAACAAAGAAAGGAATTTGTACTACAATTCGTCTACGGACAATTTCTTGTGAGACCTGGGCCTGTCCCTGCGGAGCGAGGCAGGTGACCTGTGGCAGCTCCCAGGCTGTCAGAGAGCTCAGATTTCAAACACGCTCAACTCAAACATCCCGAGTCGCCTATTTAAGCATGCCCGGGCAGTTAGACTGGGCTATCTCGTGCCTTTCAAGGCAGGATAAAGCCGCATTTATCGTATTCAGGCCATTCAATGGGTCAGACTGACCGTGTCAGCAGGGGCTCCTCTCCGGCAGGTCAAAACCCAGCTCCCATTTTTCTCTCCCTACTCACTCCCTCTCTCCCCACAGGACAGCCATTCCCAAAAACCTATTCCGAATGAGGCAAAGAACAAAACCCCCAAAAGCGCCTAAGATTTCCATCACAACTGATCGGAACTTCCCGTGTCAGTGGGCCAGCAGGTATAAATCAAACGGGCTGTCTGTCAGAGGGTTCTTTATGTCACAGACGCAAAACTCTTAATTAGGGATAGGAACTTTCAACTGCCAGGGTAAATGACTGTGTAAGGTTGTGGACCCTCTTGTTTTGCTAGAAGCCAAGCTGGAAGCCACCCCAGCTTCAAGACCATTCCTTTTACAATTTTGTATCGAGACTCCATAGTTTTGGGCCATGGTCTCTCCTTAACCTTTACTTTTCTCCTCTGGAAGCGTTTAGGAATGGAATGTCTGTCGCAAAAAATGTACCTAGACTCAAAAATCAAGGTCATTTATAATCGTATCTTTGATACTGAATAAATTCTGTGGTCTTTTTTCTTTCTTTTTTTGA